CTGGACTCTCAGGAATGAGATAGGATTTGGGGGTTAGGGTCCACAGAACAAGATGCCGCGTCCTCTGGGAAAGACAAGATGACCCCCCTGGAGCAGTACGAACGGAAGGTAAGCCAGTCAGATCTGTGGGCCCCTGAGGCAGGGCGGGAGGGGGCTGGACTCTTAGGTCTGCAGGGGGAGCACGTGGGGGGCTTGGATTCCTTGGTCTTGGAGGGAAGAAGGGCCTGAGGACATGGACTTCAGGGTCCTAGGGGAGAAGAGGGCTGGGGGATGCCCTCCTGGGCCAGGGGAGGAGGGGGCTGGAGCCGACTCCTGACACCTCCTACTCCCCCAGGTGAATGTGTCCGTTCCAAGGGGCTTTCCTTTCCACTCATCGGAGATTCAGAGGGATGAGCTGGTAAGAGGAGGAATATTCAGGGTACTTAGGGGGGGAGGTCAAGAGGTCAGTGGCTAGACTGTGACTCCCGAAGCCACACAGGGCCCTGGTCAGCCTCAGAGATGGCCCCGGCGTCCTCTCCTCCCACTGCAGGCCCCAGCTGGCACAGGCGTGTCCCGAGAGGCCGTGTCCGGTCTGCTGATCATGGGAGCCGGCGGGGGCTCCCTCATCATCCTCTCCCTGCTGCTCTTGCGCCGGAAGAAGCCCTATGGGGCCATCAGCCACGGAGTGGTGGAGGTAAGGGACACAAAGACCTGGGGTGGGGAGGAGCCCCGGAGCCCGGGAGATCTGTGGTTGGATCCACACGGCCCACTCCCCACCCCTGCCCCCGTTGCAGGTGGACCCCATGCTGACCCTGGAGGAGCAGCAGCTCCGCGAACTGCAGCGTCACGGCTATGAGAACCCCACCTACCGCTTCCTGGAGGAACGACCCTGAACCAACTCCCTTCACCCCTTCAGCTGAGCCCAGACCTTCCCTCTTCCTGGAACCCCTGAACCCTAATTTCCAGCCTGGGGGAGAGGGTGAAAAAGTTCATTTCAGACCCTTTGTGAGGGAGCTGGAAATTCTTATTTCCCCTTTCCAATTCCAAATTCCATCCCTAAGAAATCCCTGGGTATTCCCAGCTGCCGTCCCCGCCTCCTTGAGACCTCCTCACTTTAATTTATTTTGTACGTTAATTTATTGTCCTTAAGGTGACCAGCAGCTTGGTCCCAGCGTCTGTTGTTCCCTGGAATTCATCCTCCCATGTGTCCTCCACTAATATCCCAATAAAGTCCTCTTCCCCACCAGGCCATCCTCTGTCTGTCTGGGGGAATCAGGGTGTAATCAGTTCTGGACATTGGTGCGCAACCCCACCCAGACCTCCTTCACATTCTTAAAAACTGTGTGTGCTCAGTCGCTTAGTTGTNGTCTGGGGGAATCAGGGTGTAATCAGTTCTGGACATTGGTGCGCAACCCCACCCAGACCTCCTTCACATTCTTAAACTGTGTGTGCTCAGTCGCTCAGTCGTGTTGGACTCTTTGCAACCCCATGGACTGTAGCCTGCCAGGCTCCTCTGTCCATGGGATTTTTTAGGCAAGAATAGTGGAATGGGTAGCCATTTCCTCCTCCAGAGGACCTTCCCAACCCAGGGATGGAACCTGCCTCTCCTGTGTCTCCTGCATTGGCAGGCGGATTCATTACCACCCCGGTGGATCTTTAAATTTGGGCGGGACCTTGAAAGGGGGCGGGGTCCAGAGATCTAGGATAGGCTCTCCCGCCCACCAGGAGCTTTCCGTGGTACTGAACGGACTGCCCCTTCTACGCCAGTATCAGCTAGGTTTCAGGCTGAACTCCAAGGAGACTTTGCAAATTTCCCCTGCCTTCTACTCATACACAGTCACATACAGCATCCATCCCTGACCTGTGAGCTCAATGAGGGACAGGGAATCTTGAGCAGTACTTCCCATTCCTGAGTCTTCATCCCTTCTTGGGGAGGCGATAGGAGTCCCCCTGGCGTGTGGAAATTCAACCACATGTCCCAATAAGGGTTATGTGTTGCCTGCAAGTGCATCCCATTTTGTGACATGCCAGAGCTATCCCTCTATACATTACTTGTTTCAAGAGGGTTGTTAGGATTAAAAGGAGTAATATTTGTTGAGACATTGGAATTGTGCCTGGCATTTTGTAAGTATTTGTTGAATAAATTCTAAAATGACATGGGAGCAAACTCATGCCTGTGTCAGGCTGATCCAAGGGCTTTACATGCACTGGCACACTTAGTCACCCCATGAAGTAGGTACTACAACTATCCTCATTAATAGATTAGGAAATGGAGGCAAAGAGACGTTCATCACATTCTCAAGGTCGCCATCTAGGAAGCGTTGGAGCTAGAAATCCAACCCAGGAAACCTGGCTCCAGTGCCCACACTCGGCCATTTTGCTAACCCCCTGGCTAATAATCCATGGATGTCCCATATGGTGTTCAGGTTGCTCTCTGCAACATTTCAAGTGGTACCATTCATCTCCTAGACATTGCAGATCGCATTTTTACCAGAGCTTCCCAGCAGATGGCAGTAATGTGCTGTGTCCCAATATTAGGATAGCACAATTTTCTGACAGACAGCTAACGGAGGGAGCAGTTTTTCTATTTTTCCCAAAGGACCAATGAGCTCACCGTGGTGAGCTCTACATAATATATACGTACAAATATAGGTCATGTATATTAAATATAGACATGATAAGTATTGGGAGAAAGATGTCTACATGATGCAAGTTGGATACAATGTTACAGTTTTATTAAGAACGCAGTTTCTGGGACTTCCCTAGTGGCCCAGTAGTTAAAACACCCCACTTCCACTTCAGGGGGCACGGGTTTGATCCCCGGTTGAAAAACTAAGATCCCACATTCCTTGCAGTGTGGTCAAAAAAGAGAACCCAGTTAGAAACATCATTCTGATCTGGTTTCAACATCAGGTTAGAAATCTATAACTAGCACTACAAGCAGGGGAAAACTTGCCTTTCTATTTTCACAGCCAAGGGTGATTAACAGGCTAAAAATGGCTAAGGAGCTCTGAGCAGGTGGGATAGAAAATGAAAGGCCATTTTGCTCAATATGTTCAATACATGATTCCTTAAGAATATTTGCATTTTAATGGCTATACTTAGAGTAATTAGTTTAAAAACACTGTTTTATTGAAATTCCAGCAGGAAAAATAACTTTACTATTGCTTATTTGATGCTCCTGTGCCCCCTAAGCCACTCTATTTTCCCATTGAAAGCAATTTGATTCTTTTAGTAAAGCAGTTTTCTTAGAGATATGTTGGGCTTCCCAGGTGGCTCAGTGGTAAAGAATCCGCCTGCCAATGCAGGAGACTCAAGAGAAGTGGGTTCAGTTCTTGGGTCAGAAAGATTCCCTGGAGAAGAAAATGGCAACACCCGCTCCAGTATCCTTGCCTGGAAAATTCCATGGATGGAGGAACCTGGTGGGCCAGAGTCCATAGGGTCGCAGTCAGACACAACAGAGCGCACACAAACACACATACAGACATGTTATCATGTTAGTGGTGTCTGTGTGTGTGGATGTGTGTGTTTTGATACATGTTGGGATACATATATGTCAACAGAATCTAAGATGCTATCAAAAATAAATACCATTATTTTGTATACCACAAAGGAAAAATATGCTGACATTAAACTAGGTCACATAATTGACTGTAAGATAAATTCCTATTAAGTTCTTCCTAGAACTGATGNAGATGCTATCAAAAATAAATACCATTATTTTGTATACCACAAAGGAAAAATATGCTGACATTAAACTAGGTCACATAATTGACTGTAAGATAAATTCCTATTAAGTTCTTCCTAGAACTGATGAAATATGACATATTTCTATGAATTTTTCGTGGGTCAGCTGCCAGGATGTGAGTACACACAGAGGAGCACATAAATGCTGGTCCAAGGCAGCTGATGTGGGAGACTGGTGCTGGCACCACCAATGACCCCACCTCCCAGTCTTGTCCTTGGGTAGTACCCTCCTCCCCACAGATTCTGGGCTTGGCCACATGACGGACTTTGACCAGTGTGGTGTCAGCAAGCATGATGTGAGCAGGGGCTTGTTCTCTTGGAGCTATCCTGTGAAGGGATCCTCCCACCCTCCTGGAGGGACCAGAGAGGGATGCTCGGTTCACTCTCAGGGGTTTCAGCCATCTTGACCAAGCTCTCAGACATCTGAGTGCCATTGTCCAGCCCAAGCAGGCCTCCAGCTTACTGCAGCCACACGAATGACCAAAGACAGCAGAACTGCCCAGCTCAGCCCAGCCCAGACTGCAAAATCATGGCCAAAAAAAGTGGTGGTTGTTTTAAGCCTTAGGTCTTGGGGTAGAGATACTGGCCCACACCCTCAAGTGTGCCTGGTTTGCTGTCCGTGAGAGGCTCCAAGCAGTGGGGACTAACATGGGTCAGAGGGCTTTCCGGAGGGATGAGATTGGAATGGAGGCCAGAGCAGAGGCTGTGGGGCAGATATGAGAAGGGGACATTGTGGAGGCCTTCTGTCTTTAGTTAACGTTTCTCCAGAAGCAGAGGCTGAGGCAAGGATATGAGGACATGATTACCTGGAAGGGCTGGAAAACACTGGTTGGGAAGCAGGAAGTGACACAGAAAAGGGAAAAAGCTGCCACAAAAGGGCAGGTTAGCAAGCCAGGACCACTGGGTAGAGAACTGGAGGCTCATTCCGTCAGGGAACTTTGAGAGCCTGTGCAGAATACACACAGTCATCCCCACTGAGGGGGTGGGCCTGGAGCATTTACACACTATCTCCCTTCAGTCAGTCACTGGTTGAGGGTTACTGGAGGTGGGAAGAGGCAAAGTGGGCACCAGGGGTTCTGAGAAGGCCCACAGGCAAAGATTCACGTGCTGGCCCTGGCAGTCAGACCACCAGGTGTTGAGTGGGGAGGGTGACAGGATATGGACTTGGCCCCCCGCCACGGTGTCTGCTACAGTATACCCCCCAGACACGTTCACCCAAACACAGCTCCTCAGTCGCTTCCCTGCACCAAGGATGAGCGATTAGATAGTAACAGTTCCAGTCCAGGTTGAGTTTAATCAGGAGTTTCAGAGAGGGGAGGGGATTCACTGGAAATATCGAGGTCTGGGACAGGGGCCTGGTTGAGTCGACTTAAAAAGGCCTAGGGGACTCTAACTTAGGAGAGTCCTTCCTATGTCTCAGGGTTAGGGACCTGAAGGGGTTGGGTCCCAGGGAGGTCAGTGGGTCATCTTGGAGCTCTACTGGGATGGTACCAGAAGCTGTTTTGGGGGATACTCCAAGTACCATGTAAGGGAGTTATATCTGGGGTTCCAGATGTAAAGAGCTGAGTTAGCGGAGGGGACCCTGAAAGATCCTGCGGGGGAAAGGGTTGGGGGGGTCTAGGGTGTTTCACAGAAACAATCAAGGGGCCTCGATTTCACAGAAATCATCAAGGGGGCTCCTTGTGGGTGGGGGAGGGGTATCATACTGCCCCAAATATTGGGGACTGTTTACCCCCTAGCAGCCATTTTGGGGTTTTAATGTAAGACCCCAAAGGCTGGACATTGTCCACATACATTATCACGAATTTGCAACATTAGCATACGCTGGTTGTCCCACAGGACGGTGGGGACTGGAAAATCAGTCCAGGTTCTGGGTTTGCGTCCTAAGAGGACAGGCCTGGGGGTGCCACTCGGCTCCTCTTCAAAAGCTGCCGGAGCTGTAAACAAAACAAGACAGGGGAGAAGTTTGAGAGGCTGCAGGGAGAGATGGGGCAGGCGCACCCTGTGAAGCTGGGGGTCAGAGAGAAATGAGTCAAGTCAGATGGGTTTGAAGGTCAAACGTGTGGGAATGGGGGTTAAGCCTCGTGCACACAATGAATCAAGGCTCCTGAGCAAAGGTGTTGCTGGCTGAGAGATTCCCACCTTGGGATTAGCACTGAGGACTGGGAGTCCAAAGGGAGAAGCTAGGAGTCAAGAGTCACATTTGAGGGTCAGAAGTCCCACTCTGAGGTCAGGACTAAAAGTCAGGGGGCTGGAGGTTATCCTGGGGATCAAAGGTCACACCTTAAGGTCAGGATTCAGGGTTAAAAGTAGAGGTCATACTCTGAGGTCAGGGTTTAAATAGAGATTAGGAGGAGTCACCTTATCAGGCAAGGGAGCAGACACTGAGGTCCAAGGTCACTCTTGTTTTTTTGGCTGTGCTGCATGACATGTGGGATCTTAGTTCCCAGACCAGTAATCAAACCCAAGCCCCTTGCAGTGGAAGTGGGAAGTATTAACCACTGGACTGCCAGTGAAGTCCCTCAAGGTCACATTTTGAAGTCAAGGTCGGAGAAGGGTCAAGGTCACCTTCTGACACCACAAGTCACCCTCTAAAGTCAGGAATGGACGGGGTCAGAGGTTCACCCTGCAGTAAGGGCTGGCTCAGTGCTCACCCCCTCAGGGCCCGGCCCAGGCCGTAGCAGGTGGACAGGCTGCTCGTTCTCCAGGTTGCGCAGTGTTGGATCCGCTCCAGCTGCCAGCAGGCGCCGCACAATGGCCTCCTGGGCCGGCCCAGGGGGCAGGGCGGCCGCCATGTGGAGGGCGGTGTTCCCATGGGCCTGGAGACAGTGAGGGGAGGACTGCTAAGGACGCAGACTCAGCTGGCCTGGGCTCTCTACCTCACACTCTCTATACTACCATGTTCATGTCCCACATGTCCCCTCTCACGTCCCAGAGCCCTGCTCCACACCACATTCCACACAGTCCTCTGTCTGTGCACACCACGTGCCCCCGGTCTAGGTCCACATCCTATACATCGTCCCCTCCACAGCCACAGCCACAAGACCCCCAGCATCCAGCTGCCCATCTCTGCCACACCTCACCTAATCTGCACATTCCAGCCCAGGCCCCTACCTTCATGTTGACAAAGGCCCGCAGGTCTCCCCGGGGCAGTGCCAGGAGCAGCTGAACCAGGGTCGGGTTGGCGGCCTGCACAGCCAAGTGCAAAACAGTCTTGTTGCTCTTGATCTCCTGTGGAGAGGGGAACGGCAGAAGTCAGGCCAGTCCTCATACCCAGGCCTCCAACCATGGAGCCCAAAAGCCTTTAGAGACTCTGTTCCTCTTTTGCAAGCACCCATATGTGCATTATACAGGTGCATGCACTGTGCACTCTACAAGAATACCAGATTTAAGGGGGTGCCATTCAGATCATGGAGCAGTGGTAAAGACTTTGCCTACCAATGCAGAAGACACAAGAGACATGGTTTCGATCCCTGGGTTGGGAAGATCCCCTGGAGGAGGAAATGGCAACCCACTCTAGTATTCTTGCCGGGAAAATCCCACGGACAGATGAGCCTTGCGGGCTACAGTCCGTAGGCTTGTAAAGAGTCGGACACAACTGAGAAATTGAGTGAACACGAGCACACATTCAGATCATAAGCACCACTGAACTGTATATTCATTAAGACAGTTTTCCAGCCCAGGTATCATTGAGAAAAAAACTCCTTTTCTAGTCCTCCAAAGGAGCTCTCTGGATCTCTGGACTAGCAGCTGCCCTGGCCAGCCCACATTCTACTGAACACAATAAAATGCACCCACATCCCACATGGACTATTTTATCTACAAGGATGGGAACTGAGAAGCATTTATCAGTGGACTACCTAAGCCTATATCTACTTCCATACAGAGTAGCTCTCTTCACATTTTGAAGCAAATAAAGACATTTTCCACAATGAAACTTTATTATGTGCCTTCAAAGAATCCCTAATGATAATAAACATGAAAAATTGTGTGTTTAGACATGGAAAACAAACTTATACTTGCTTAAAGGGAAAACAGGGTGGGGGAGGATAAATTAGGAGTTTGGGATTAGCGGAAACAAACTACTGCATATAAAATAGACAAACAAGGTCCTACCGTGTAGCACAGGGAACTAGACTTAACATCCTGTAATAAACCATAATGGAAAAGAATATGAAATAGAATATGTATATATATGTACAAATAAATCACTTTGCTGTATACCTGAAACTAACACAATGTTGTAAATCAATTATACTTCAATAAAAAATTTTTTAAAAAGGGAAAAAAAGGACATATCATTGCAATGTGTGGGCTTTATTTGGATCATAGTTTTTTGGGTTTTTTTTAAATAAAAAAAATAAACGTATGTTACTGTGCTTGCATGCTCAGTCACTAAGTTGTGTCCGACTCTTTGTGACCCCACGGACTACAGCCTGCCAGGCTCCTTTGTGCCTGGGATTTTCCAGGCAAGAATACTGGAGTGGATTGCTATATCCTTCTTGAGGGGATCTTCCCGACCCAGGATCGAACCCTCGTCTCCTGCTCGGCAGGGGATTCTCTACTGCTATGCCACCTGGGAAGCCCGTATGTTACTTTAGAGCCAAACAAAAATTTGAACACAAGATATTTGCTCTTATGAGATTGTTAATTTTTTTAAGGTGGAATAATGGTACTGAGGTTAAAAAGAATTCTTATCTTTTAAGACAAATTTTATGGGTATAATTTTACCCATAAAATTATAAGCTTGGATTTACTTAAAAGTAATACAGGGAAGTGGGGAAGTGATAACCCAGCAACTCATAGCTGGTTATTTATGTTGGGTAGGTGGAGTTTATTATATCAACATTATTTTCTGTACTTTATCTGTGTTCAAAGTTCTTAAAACAAAAAAATTCCAAAACAATGAGTGGATGTGTAATTCCTTCAGCCAGCCTTTGAAGGAGCTACTGGCAGGAAGGAGGAGAATATATGTATTAAGAGCTAGATTCTAGGGTCAGGCCACCTGGGCTTGAATCCCCTCTGACACTTTCAAGGTACAAGATTTTTGAGTCCTTGAGCCTGTTTCATTATCATTAAAATGGAGAAGGCAATAATAGCACACACATCAAAGCGTGTTTGTGAGAATTCAATTAGCTAATCGGTGAAACTCAGTGTTTAGTAACAGTTAAGTGCTTGATAAATATAAGCTAAAATCATTAATATTATTCCCAGTTGACAACTGGGACACAGAGAAGTGAAGTAACATGTTTAAGTTCACACCACTGACAAGGGGCAAGTCAGCATTTATTTAGCCTTCTTGGACATTCAAGAGCTCCCATCCCACATGCCCTCCTGGGGGCTAGCTGTCCACTGCCCAGCTCACCTGGCTGGTGTGATCGGCACCCATGTGCAGCAACATCTTGACGCAAGCCAGCCTGTCCTGGGCCTGGGTACTCAGTACTGGGGGATATAGGTCAGGAGGGTGCATAGCCACGTTGAGGGCCAGGATGGCTGTGTGGAGTGGGGTGAGGCCTGCAGAGCAGAGACAGTGAGGACTTTACATTTGGAGCACTCCCCCGACCCAGCCCCACCTGCCACAACACCCTGCCGCCATTCAACTTACCCTCAAAGTCTCTGGCTTCTATGTCAACTCGAACCCCTGAGTTAATTACAGCCTGGAGGAGAAGGCAGAGAGCTGGCTTAAGAGTCTCTCCGGGCCGTGTAGCCCTGAAAGTCAAGATCTAGGCAATCTAGCCCATCCCACTCATCCCACCTGCCACATGGACATACCGAGAGGACTCTTGGGAGCCCATATGTAGCGGCCACGTGTAAGACAGAACGTCCTTGATGGTCAGTGGCGTTGGGTTCCGCTCCCAGGTTCAGTAGATCCTCCACAATCAGGGGCTGGTTGGCAGCAGCAGCCACCAGAAGAGGGGTCTGCAGGTGTCAAGAAAGGTCAGTCTGGGCCCCCCATCCCCTACCCTTTGAAAACCAGGACCCAGGCTCCCAGCCCTTTTGTCCTCAGATCCAGGAGACCAAGCCTCCAGCCCTCACCTTGCCCTTATGCTCACGAATGTCCAGATGTCTGTACGCTTGGAGCATCTCAGCTGCAGCATATGCTGCCCAGCGTAACCCCCGTGCCGCAAACAGGTGCAAGAGCCTGGGGACAGGTGGGGGGCAGCAATGAGCACAGCACCCCAGCTGAGCAGGAAGCCCGCAGACTCCACTCCCCTATACTCACGTGTCTCCTTCCTCATCCTGCGCCAGCAGCTTTTGGGGTCCCAGAGCCAGCATGTGAGCACGGGCAGTGTCCAGGGATGGTCCAGTGACCACAGGAGGCAACTGTGGAGGTCCTGAGGGGAGCCCAGAAGCCCTCCAGGATCCTGCCTGTGGCAGGGAAGGGTCTGCATAGAGCCGAGTGTCCAGGGGGTCCTGAAGGGTACAGGGGGTGGGGAGAGCCAGTCAGCTGAGAATTCCCTCTTTCCACCACACACATACACATACAGAGTGCTAGGCAGAGTGGCTGCATGTTCCATCTGCGGCCAGTAACCCTGGACCTTTGGGTCTCAGTTTTGCCCACCTGAGGAATGGGCTCCTAACCCAGACATCTCAGAATGTTGTGCTGCATAAGGGCAACTGGGCATCTCAGGGACCCTTCAGCATCCAGTTCCCATTGTCAGTCTCACCTCCATCCCCAGGGGAAATGAACACGGCCGCCCTGGGTCCGAGGGTGAGTAGAAGTCAGGAGTCAGAAAACTTTCAGCAGCAGAAGCAGGATAAGAGTAGAGGCTGTCCGTGTAGGCAGCATGCGTGTTGGGGTCCCAGTCTACAAAGCCAGTGGGGGGCGCCAGGCTGCCAAGTCCAGAACCCACAGTCTCCTGGTGTGCAGGGAAGTGAGTATGGCCTGTGTGTGAGAGGAGGAGCAGGGGCAGGCCCGGTTACCAGAGTTAGGGAAGTAGCAGCCCAGACAGGAGCTGTATGAGGGCCCAGCGTCCCCAGGATAGAGAAAGCTAGTACTTCTGGGGCATCAAAGGGTTGGAGGTTTGGACTGTGGGGGCCTAAATGCCTGAACACTGAGTGGGTGAGGGCCTAGACTCCAGGCTGGGAGCCTGGGCCCCTGGACTACGTGCAGAAACTACTGAGCTCCAGAGAATCTGGGAGATCAAACTGCTACCAGGTCTCGGCAAGAATGAAGGCCTAACACCTAAGTTCTGGAAAGTTCTAAGAGCAGGGATATTTGAGTCCCTGAGGGAACCAAGTGAGTTTCCAGACTTACCAGCTTCACCCTCATTCACAGATGAAGTCAGGGGCTGGGCCAGAGGAGGTGGGAACTGTCCCTGTGGAGGCCGAAACAAAAAGAAACAAGGGGGCATTTATCCAGCAGACTTTTCGGCACCCATTCCCCACCTACAGGGCAGCTAAGTCAAGACTACATCTCTCGTCAGCCCTGAGGGCCCTTGCCCACCAGGACATGGCCTCATGGGAGTTGTAGTTTACAGGGCGTCCTGGGGCTCACCGGTAGCCCACCGGCGTCTGGCTGCTGCTGGCGGCGCCTCTGTTCTTCTAGCAGCTTCTTCACCGTCTGTGACGGGCAATGGCTGCGCTCATTCCGGCTCACTGCGGGGTGAAGAAGGAGGGAAGTTATCAGGGGTCTTTAAGTCACCCAAGGGCGCGGGGGAGTGGATCTGAGCATCCTCCTCGCCCTCCCGCGCGGAAAAAACTGGCACACTGCTGTCGCCGAGAACTCCAAAGCCAACCTAAGATTTCGGGTGCGGCGCCGCAGCCGCCTCCGCCGTTTCCTTCCTTTTGCTCCGCACTTTCCCCTATGACCCAACTTTCCACCAGCGTCGTGGAAACTAAGGAAGGGGGTGGAGGACGCCCTCTTCAGCCCCCCTCTCTCTGACCGCCACTTCCGTGAAAAATCCCACCGCACCCCACACCCAGATCTCCCAGTCCTGAGGAATTCGGGGGGATGCCGGGCTTCCCTTCACAGAGACGCACATCCAGGTTCCCAAATCTCTCTGCCCTAGAAGCTGCCCTGATACTTTTCCTCGGGAAACCAGATATCCGAGTCCCCAGCCCCTCTCCCTAAGGAACCACGAAGTCAACAGCCCCCTGGCTCTTCAGGGATCCAAAAGTTCGGACCTTGCCCCCTTCTTCAGACCCAGGAGTCCAAGCCCCACCCCACAGGAGTCTGGGAGACTCGCAACCTCTACCCCAGGACCCAGGAGTCCGAGCCTCAGCCTACTCCCCTCTAGGACCTGGGAGTCCCAGTTTCCAGACTTCTTGTTCACGCGACCCCAGAAGCCTGGGCCCTCGGCCCTCACTCGGTTCGGGCGGAGAAAGGGTTAAGGCGCGGGAAGGCGGACTCGGAAACAGCCCAGACGCGACGCGCTGACGTCACGGCGCTCACGCAAGGGAATCTTCCACCTCCCTCTTCCTCTCTACCCCGTACACCAGGTGTCCGGCTCCGAAACACGATGCGTGGCCAAGCGTGGCGTTCGTGGAATCCCCGCACACGGGGAATTCCTGCTCAGACCGAGGACCTGGGCCGGGTGGCGACTCGGGAAATCCCAGGGTGGGGCCAGGGTCACGGGCAGAGAGCATCCCTGCGGCCAAGCCTTGGACCTTGTCTATCTAGACCTTGGCCAATTTCAAACGCCCCCAAGGACTCAATCCAGCCTCTTTCTAGAGTATGGCGGCTAGGTCGCCAGCCCCTCCTCCTAGGACCCAGGCAGGGCTCGGGGCTTCCCAGCACTTTCATCCCCAGGACCTAAGACTCCGGACCCCCAGTCTTTTAGCTCTCCGGACTCGGATCCCAGAATCCCAGCCACTCCGGCATCACGACCCAGGACTTTGCACCCTCTGCCCCCTGCACACATTGGGTTCTCACTCTCAGCTTGATGCTAGACCCCTCACTCTTGATGTCCATCTTCGGCCCCCAGCCCCTCTCTTAGGGGCCGAGCGTTACCTCACCTCCCCGCCCCTCAGTTACCTCGGGGATTCCGTGGTGCTGACTGCGGGCCCCCAGGGCCCCGGCCTCGGCGCTGCGCCAGCCTCGCTGCTTTCCCGCGGAGCCGCCGCCGGGTCCCCGATCTTGGACCGGGTCCCCCCGCGAGATTTTAAACGCAGATTCTGGCCCCACCCAGTCCTGGGCAGGGCCCCGCCCACAAGCCCGGGAGTCCCCATGGTGCGCTCGAGCGAGTCTGGTGTCTGAATGGGCGGAGCTCATTTTGAAGTCCCGACTCCGAAGTCTCCTGGGAAAGAGGAATTGGGAACCTATCTTCAGTCTGAGGGAGAAGGTGCCTGGGGTGGCGGACTCCTGAAGGAGGAGGGAACTGGGGATCTGAATTTCTGGATCTTTGTCCAAGTGGATGTTGGAGGCCTTGACTTCAAGTCCCTGGGCTGGTGGAGGGTGGGAGGACGCTGCCAGTAATACCAGGTCCAGGGAGAAGGGGACTGGGATTCTGGACTCCTTGGTCTCAAGGGAGGAAAGGTCTGTAGGTAAGAATGATGTAGGTGGACTCAAATTTCCCCTCTTCCCCACATCACCTTTTTCAGGGGCCAGTTCTCATTTGTTCATTCGTCGTTAAAAAGAATTTATTACTTAAAGGGAGGCACTTTGCTGGGTGCTGTGGTGTAGCTGTGAACTAAGCAGCCAGGAATTCCCAGCCCTCAAGCAGACTGTCATTCCAGTGGGAGGCTCGTTTCTCAGTTCCCATCTTGGTGACCATGTAAATCACATTTCTCCCCTGCTTTCAAGACTTGCTCTCCTGGTTCTCCTCCCTCACTTGCTGCTCCTTCCGTTTTCCTGCCTGTTTACTCCTCTTCACCCTTTCTTGGTGTTGGGGGAGGTGGTGTTTCTCTGTCTCTACTCACTTCCTTGATGATCTCATCCAGTCTTATGGCTTTAAATACCATCCATGAGCCATCAGTCCCCAAATTTACATCTCCAGATCAGACATCCCATGAACTCAAAGAGGCCACTGTGGTCGTTTAACTTCTCTACGGGGAGCCCTATCAGGCATTTCCAACTCCGTTTGCCAAACCTGGGCACTTTTCCCCCTAAACCTGCTTCCCCTCTTTCTCCATCCTGTCAAAGGATTCTCTGTCCTTAGTTGCTCAGACCAGAATCTTCGGTCATCCTGGATCCCTCTTTCTCATACACACTCATATCCACTCCATCAGCAAGTCTTGTCGTCTCTACTTTAAAAATCTCGCCAGAATCTCCCCAGTGCCCACACCCTGGTCTACCTGTCACATCTCACCTGGACAATCATAGCAGCCTCCCTGGTCTCTCTGACCCTCCACCTAGTTTGTCCCTGAAGGCAGTCAGAGGGATCCATCACCTCTCCCCCTCCCACACAGACACACAGGAAGCAGGTGGCCTTGTCACCAGCGGGGTGACATCCGCTATTGCTGCCTCTTCACTCCCCCATTGTTCCTCAGGACTTCTCTGGACCAAAGCCCTTTGAGAGGTCCCTTCCAGCCCCCAGCCCGCCATGGTCCCGCCAGCCAACATCCTGTTCCTGCTTTTGCTCCCAGGTGAAGCCAGTGGTTACAGGGGCTGGGGCGGGGGGTGTTAGAGTTTTGTGAACAGTTTGGGGTGGCATCTGAAGGAAGAGGTGCTGAGGGCGGGTCCTCTCAGTGCCCTTTCCTTTCCAGAAATGAACTTCTGGGCTGGTTCTTTGGGAAGGGAAGCTGAATTTGGATGGCTGCCTGTCCATCCCCTTCTACTGCTGGGTCTCTGCCTCTACTTCTGATTTCCTGTCTCTCTCGGGGTCTCTGGGCACTCCCCTCCTACCTGGCCCCTCTTTTCATTTGATCTCTCCAGAGTGGTTATTTCTCAGGGCATCTCCTTTCCCTGCGGCCTGTTTTGAGAACCACCTCTGCCCACTGATCTGCCTTCTCTCTCCTTCCACAGTGGCTGCAGCTCAGATGACCCCAGGTGAGAAATCAATCCCCCCTCCCCTTTGCAGCACCACCTCAGGTCCTGCTTCCATTCCTAAATTGTGGCCTCTGAATCCTGAATCTCACTTCTCATCCTCAAGTTGGAGCTGCCAAAGGATCTGCAGCCCTCTCTGGGTCCCCACGTCACCATCCTCATCACCAAACTGAAGGCCCAACAATGCATCAACCCCCGATCTGTCTTCAGGGGTACTCACTGTGCCCAAAGCACAGTCCTGGGAGCCCTAGGACATCCCCAGCTTCTCTCTGAATCTCCAAGATCCCTCTCCTTCCCCAGGAATTCTGGGACAGCCACCCCCAAAGGGATTTCCTTTGTATCATATGCCTGAAGCCCAGCCTTGAGTGTCTGGAAGCCCCCTCAGCCACCTTCTTGTCTTGGTCCCCCCGCTTCAGGTTCCTGTTCCGGATGTGGGCCCCTCTCTCTGCCACTCCTGGCAGGCCTTGTGGCTGCGGATGCTGTTGTGTCACTGCTGATTGTGGTGGTGGTGTTTGTGTGTGCACGCCTACGCAGCAGGCCCACCCAAGGTGAGAACAGGGGCAGGGCTGGGCCTAAAGGGACAAGATGTCCCCAGGGAGGGGGTCCCCAGGGCGGGCCCCCCCACCTTGGGCAAGCCCTCGAGGTTCCGGGGAAACCCTGGGGGCGGTGCTTGGGGGAACTCCTGAGAAAACCCCTGAGGCTGGGGGTCCCCAAGGGGGTGGAGATGTGGGTGGGAGGTGGGTGGTCAGGCCTCATGCTTTCTCTCCCCCACCCCCAGAAGATGACAAAATCTACATCAACATGCCTGGCAGGGGTTGACTTCCCTGTAACTGCAAGTTTTGACTTCTGACCCTCTCATCCTGTGTGTGGGTGGTGGCACAAGAAAATCCACCCTGCTTTGGGGCTGGAATAAAGCCGTTGAAATACCTCTTGTTCTAATTCTTTCTCAAAGAACCCAGGTTCCCCAAAGGCTCCTTCTCATTTATCTGTTTTCTGGGTCCTTGATTCCCCCCAGGACCCCATATATCCCCACCCCATCTGCCCAGGGATCTGGAATAACTTAGCATTGTTTGTGCACTCCAATGTTTATTTGGGGGCAGTAGTGGGGATAAGTCTGACATCTCGTGGAGGCCACTCTGTGGATCCATGTCTTGATGGGATTAGGAGTAGAATGCTGAGCAGGCATCAGGAATGACTGGATCCAGGCATCAGGTTGTTGACTGCCCTGCTTTGGACTCATTTGTAATACGGCCTCTGTGTGTTGAGGTCGCTGTAGACATCTGTCCTCTGGCCTTGGAGCTCCTAAGGGATGGAAGGGTGTGGACCATCAGTGCAAGGACCACCACGGTATGGACCAAATAAACTGAAAATCTAGCTTTCTCCCAGGGGCTGGCGAGGCCCCTGGCAGCTTCTTCAACTTTGTAGCCATGAAAGAGATCTAGATTTTATTCAAGGACATTCAATGCTCCCTTCTTCCCTCTGCCTCACCATTATGCCCCAGGCAAGGGGCCTTTGGGTGTGCTCTTCTCTCTGCCTGGAACACCAGTCCCCCATATAGTCCCATGGGAGGTTCCTTCTCCACCTTCTAGTCTCAGCTCATGGCATTTTCTCAGAGAGGCATTTCTTTTTTCCTTTGACCACATGGCATGTGGAATCCTAGTTCCCTAAGGCCAGAGATCAAACCCGGGCCCCCCTGCATTGGAAGCACAGAGTCTTAACCACTAGACCACCAGGGAATTCCCTGAGAGGCATTTCTTGATTTCCTCATCTCTAGTTTCTCCTCCCCACACCCCAGTCATTGTCACATCAACCTACTTTATTTTCTTCACACTGCCTCCCCAAGTGATCTTGTTAATTTGCTTCAAGACTATCTCTCCAACTAGGATGTAAGCTCACCAGCATCTAGCCTATACTGGCCCTCAACAAATTTCACCAAAGGAATGAATAAATTGGGCCTTTGCCCTAAAATGTCACTGCCTCCCAGTAACTGGAAATCCCCTTGAGTCTTCTGGTCCTCATGGAGCCAAACTTGAGATCCTTATACTTTACAGAGAGACTTTCAAGTCACAAGTGAAGCAAACCAGAGCTGGTTGCAGACAAATAAAACAGACTTCACAGAGCAAGGTTCACAGTGGGGGTGGGGTAAGGGTCTGTGGCCCCAAGATGCCGCCTCAGATAGAGTCCCTAAAATCACATACAAATGCCTGGTCTGAGAGTTTATCTTTCTGGAAAGGGTCTGTTTGCCTTCCATTAGTTTCTCAGAGGAACGCATGACCCCGTAAATGGTTAAGAATCACACTGACATCTGCCCTCTTAGCGCAGTAGGCAGCGCGTCAGTCTCATAATCTGAAGAATCACACTGACAGGAGGTGGAAGATGGAAAGATGACATTTGCATCGTGGCTCTTAGTTGCGGCCTGTGGGATCTAGTTCCCTGACCAGGGATCGAACCTCAGCTCCCTGCATTGGGAGCGTGGAGTCTCAGCCACTGGACCACCAGGGAAGTCCCTGTATCATGGCTCTTAAGGAGGCTTTCAAGGATACTTGCACTGCCCGTAGATTATATGCACAATTTTGTGTTTTTCATACGGATTTTTCTGAGGAGTCTCTGGCTTTTGTCAGTTTCTCAAGAGGAGACAAGATCCGCTTCCTGCCCCCCACTATTAATTATAAAACTCCTCATTTTAAAGCCACCAAATTAGGGTTGAATTATATCCTCTGCTCTTCGGAGGACTTCTCTGAGAAATCAGCATGTCCTGGGCTGGGCTTTTCCTGCCTTCTGGATGAGGCAAACCATCCCTGAATTTCCCCTCCGCACATTTTAAGCTGAGCGTAAGGTCGTGATTGATCACTGAAAGCAGTTTTGGATGCTTCATCTTCAATGTTTGAGGAGCTCCTGGGAACGTGGCTTCAGGGTCTGGGTTCTGCGGGGACTGGGGGAGGGACATTTCGGACAGACAAGCACAGGGCCGGAGTGAGAGATGAGGCAAGAACTTGGTTTCCTTACCTGATAAGGCGACTCTGTCTCCGTGATGTGCTGTTTCCGGGTCACTGCTGGGGAGTGGGGTGAGAATTGGGACTATTTTCTTGTTCCAAAGTCAGCCCCCCCATCACCTCCCTTTGGGTGGTTGTGACTTGGGAGTTCACCCTTCCCTTGCCAGGCAAGTCCTCAGAGGGTCCCAGGCCATCCCCAGCCGGCCCCACTCACCCTCCGCAGCCCCTCGCCCCCGAGGGACCAGCCGACCCAGGGAGTACACAGCCAGGGCAATGAGGAGGGTCAGCACCAGGTCCCCCAGCACGATCCCGGCCAGCACGCCCGGGCTCACCGAGGAGCAGTTGCATTCTGGGAATGGACATGGTACAGGAGTCAGGGGAGACCCGTGGGAGTGGGAATCAGGAGGAGGTGTCAGTCATCGGGGGGGAGGTGTGGAGAGACTGGGGAAGGGTCCAGAGGGGGGGTGGTCTTTGGGAGGTAGGATGGGAGGTTGCAGGGTCTCGACCTACCACTCTGGGCCTGGACGAGGCTGAGACCTGAGGAGAGGAAAAGAAGGTAAACTGAGACACAGGACTGTGACTGCGGGGTGGGCAGAGAAGCTGGGGAGGGTGTCTCCTGATCCCCAGCGGGCACAAGAAGGGCCTGGGGGCCGTCATCAAGGCCTCTGGACTGTGTTCCTTCTACATCGACTTGTCCTGTTGCAACACTCTTAAGAGTCCCCTCCCTCTGCTTCTCCCAGAGGCTAAATCTTGGGGCGGGTTGGGGCGCAGGCTCTAGGAGAGACTCATAGGGTTTGGGGGGCTGGGGATCTGCTGCGGTCCCAACACTACCCCGCCCCGCTTCGATTCTCTCTTTCCGCCCAGCTCCCTGCCTTGCCCTGTGCTGAGCCCAGAAGCTGCAGAAGCCCCCAACTCACCACCCACAGTCAGAAGGAGAGATGGGAGCCTGTCGGAGGGTCTAAGGCCCCCCATGATGCAGGTGACGCTGCTGGACACCACAGTCTAAGGCGACTGGGATGTGGTGTAGTGTCCAAGTAAAGGAGGAAGTCTGAGGTGGGTGGTGGCAGGAGGGAGGAGGGGACGATGGGGGAGGAGGAACAGAGACAGACATCACCAAAGAGAGTCAGGCCAAGACACCCCAGGCTGCAGCCTCCAGTGGTTAGAATGAAGGGCGACGGGCGCATGTGTCCATTCAACCTTCACCCCCAGACAGAGGTCCGCCATCATTGTCACAGGAGGGTCTCTGGCTGACTGATTGGAGCTAATCTCTGCCACTTCGTGGCTGGACAACCTTGAGCAAGTCACTCAACCTCTCTGGGCCTCAGTTTCCTCACCTGTAAAACAGGAAGTAAAATAGTACCTACTCTGAAGGGTGTTGTGGGGGGTCGAATGAATTTGTATCTCTAGAACAGGGTCTGACCCTTGTCAGCTTTTTATAAGCACCAGGTATATTTATTTGACAATCCGAACCTTGTAATGTTCATAGGATATTAAAAGATAACACCAGGATATGGGTTCCAGTAATGCACAGGCACCCTGTCCAAGTGTTAATGCATTTAAACCCAAGTACACCATTCTGAGGCGGCTTCCCTGGTAGCTCAGTTGGTAAAGAATCTGCCTGTAATTCAGGAGACCCTGGTTCAATTCCTGGGTTGGGAAGATCACCTGGAGAAGGGATGGGCTATCCAATCCTGTATTCTTGGGCTCCCCTAGTGGCTCAGATGGTAAAGAATCCAGCTGGAATGCGGGAGGCCTGGGTTCGATCCCTGGGTTGGGAAGACCCCCTGGAGGAGAGATAGGTTACCCACTCCAGTATTCTTGCCTGGAGAATCTCCATGGACAGAGGTGCCTGGTGGGCTACAGTCCATCAGGTCCCAAAGAGTTGGACATGACTAAACAATGAAGCATAGCACACCCTTCTGAGGTACATGCTTTTATCCCATTTTAGAGAAGGATAAAGACACTCGGCCAAAGTGACACAGCAAATAAAGGTGGACATAGAACCCAGGACCCAAAGACAGATATCCGACCCTTAAAGAAAAAGAAAAGAACCAAGATGGAGGCGAGGGAAGGAAAAAGTGGTGACCAGGCAGAGAAAGAGGAAGAAGACTAGGCAGTCACACAGATGCACACAGCACAGACCCAGGCCTAGGGCTTTGGGGTGAGGCAGGTGGGGGACAATGGGTGACACTGGACCAGGCTGGGCTGCCCCCACCAAATGAGGAAGTGGCTGGAAGCCCGTACTGAGGGAGGCCACCCAGGAGATGACAAGGACTTTTAGCCCCAACAGGAGAGGAGCCAGAGCTGGGGAAGGAGGAACCTGAGGTTAGGGGCTATAGGGGGATGGGCCAGTGACAGGAAGCCCCGTCCAGGCGGCACACCCACAGCTCCCCGGGCCTGGGCTCAGGAGAGAAAAAGGGGAAACTGGATGCCAGTCATGGGACAGACACTGAGTGACCTGTTGGAGTGGGGGGTGGGTAATTGGAGTCCGGAAGAGGGTCACAGCCGAGTCCCAGGTGGCACTGGCTATTAAACGCCACCATTGCCCAGGCCTGGCCGAGTCCTGTCACAGAAGAATCAACATGCCGCCACCACCACCAGGTCTGGAATGAACAGGGCCTGCCTGCTCAGGCGTCTCAAGGTGGCTGAAGCCCAGTGAGCCCAGGGGCAATCAGGGACCAGAGGAAGCTCTGAGCCAGGAGGGCCCTGATCTGACTCAGGAGTCAACAGGCTCCCTCTGGCTGGGCATGGGGACCTGACTGTTGGAGGCAGGGGTGGGAGCAGGGGGCCAGGATGCAGCAGCAGTGGCCCAGTTTCTTGTGAGGATTTTGTGAGGTCTGTGAGAATCAGGCCTGCCTGGCACACAGTAAATGCTCAGTGAATGTTAATCATTATCAATATTGTTGTCATTGTTACTAGCAATTCAAGGCTTCCCAGGTGACTCAG